TCCTGGCAACCGCTACCTACTTTCTATCTCTGTGGATTTTATTCTGGACATTTTATGTCAATGGAATCATATAATAGCCTTTTGCGTCTGGCTTCTTTCATTTAGCGTAATGTTTTCAAGGTTCATCCACGTTGTAGCATGTATCAGTTCTCCATTCCTTTTCTTTTCTTTTCATTTTTTGGCCGAGCTGTCCAGCATGTTGCATCTTAGTTCCCCAAGCACGAATCAAACCTGCGCCCCTTGCAGTGGAAGCAGGGAGTCTTAACCACTGTACCGCTAGGGAAGTCCCAGTACTCTATTCCTTTTCATGGCTGAATAGAATTCCACTGTACAGATAGACCACATTTTGTTTATCCATTCATAGATTGATAGACATTTAGGTTGTTTTCACTTTTTGCCTTTTATGAATATTGCCGCGGTGAGCATTCATGTACAAGTTTCTGTTTGAACGCGTCTTCAGGGCTCTTGAGTATAGACCTAGGAGTGGAATTGTTGGTTCACATCCTAACTCTGTGTTTAACTTTTTGAGGAACTGCCACACTGTTTTCCACAGTGACTGCACCATTTTACATGCCCACCAGCAATAGAGGAGGGTTCAGGTCCACCATTTTGGGGTTCTTTGGGGGGAGGGTTGGTTTTCTTAATATTTTGGCCCAGCCTAGCGGCCTGTGGGACTGTAGTTCCCCCACCAGGGATGGAACCGGCACTCTCGGCAGTGAAAGCACAGAGTCCTAACCACTGGACCGCCAGGGAATTCCCTCAGGTCCACCATTTTTGAAACCCAGTTTTTTGAGTCAAACATGCCTTTCTAACCCAATCTGAGTACATTTCTCAGGTTTTACTCCTGAGACACAGAAAGCTCTAGGGGCGGAGCCTGACATAGTGCTTTGGGAGGGGGAGATGTTAAAATGGAGAAATGGGACTTCCCTGGTGGCGCAGTGGTTGGGAGTCTGCCTGCCAATGCAGGGGACACGAGTTTTGAGCCCTGGTCCGGGAGGATCCCACGTGCTGTGGAGCAGCTAGGCCCATGTGCCACAACTACTGAGCCTGTGCTCTAGAGCCCACAGCCACAACTACTGAGCCTGTGTGCCACAACTACTGAAGCCCACGCGCCTAGAGCCTGTGCTCCACGACAAGAGAAGCCACCGCAATGAGAAGCCTACGCACCTCAAGGGTAGCCCCAGCTCGCCACAACTAGAGAAAAGCCTGTGCACAGCAACGAAGACCCAGTGCAGCCAAAAATAAATAAATAAACAAATTTATTTTTTAAAAAAATGGAGAAATGACCCAGAAACAAGGACAGGAGACACTGAAGACAAACTGCTTGCTGCACGGTTTTGCTCAAAGAAGGTCCCACCAAGAGTCTAAAAAAGTGGCTTAGGACTTCCCTGGCGGTCCTGTGGTTAAGACTCCGCATTTCCACTGTAGGGGGCACCGGTTCCATCCCTGGTTGGGGAACTAAGATCCTGCATGCCTCGCGGTGCAGCAAAAAAAATAAATTAATTAAAATTAAAATTAAAAAGTGGCTTTCAAATGGCTGAGGAGGCAGGAGAAAGCACTTCACAGAAGTAGGTTTCCAGATGCAGTGGCTGGTTTTTCACTTTACCCCTCCTGTCTCCCAGTCTGCGGACGGCCGGTCATCCCCATCGCCCAGAACAGGGAGCCCGTTGGTGCCTCCAGAGCTGAGCTGGGCAACTTCCCCTGGCAGGCCTTGACCAGCATCTACGGCCGAGGCGGCGGGGCCCTGCTGGGCGACAGGTGGATCCTCACCGCCGCCCACACCATCTACCCCAAGGACGGTATCTTCCTCGGGAAGAGCCGGCGCGCGGAGGTGTTCCTGGGCCACACGAACATCGACGAGCTGCTGGAGCTGGGCGGCCACCCGGTGCGCCGCGTGGTCGTGCACCCAGACTACCGCCCGGACCAGACCCACAACTTCCACGGGGACATCGCCCTCCTGGAGCTGCGGCACAGTGTCCCGCTGGGCCCCCACCTCCTCCCGGTCTGCCTGCCCGACCGCAAGGCCCTGTACCGCCCGGGCCTGGCGGGCTACGTCAGTGGCTTTGGCATGGAGAACGGCTGGTTGACCACGGAGCTGAAATACTCCCAGGTGCCCGTGGCCCCGAGGGCGGCCTGCAAGGCCTGGCTCCGAGAGAAGCGGAGGACCGAGGTGTTCTCCGACGGCATGTTCTGCGCCGGGGACAGCACGCGGCCGCAGAGTGTCTGCCAGGGGGACAGTGGTGGTGCCTACGTGGTGTGGGACGATCGTGCCCGTCGCTGGGTGGCCACGGGCATCGTATCCTGGGGCATTGGGTGTGGTGAGGGGTACGGCTTCTACACCAAAGTGCTCAACTACGTGGACTGGATCAGAGGAGTGATGGGCGGGAAGGATGACCCCGGGGTGCTGAGCAGGGGCACCCACCGTGGAGCCCAGGCGGGAGAGGGTTGGGTTGAGGACTGAACCCTGGGCGTGGGGCGGTGGGAACAGAGATTCCTATTCAGGTCACAGCTGCAGCAAACCACTGAGCCAGAGAAATCCTCCGCGTCCCTCAGCCCCCTTCTCACCCTCCACCTTCCTGCGGGTTTGCGCGCTACACCCACACGTCTCCTCGCTACACCCACACGTCTCCTCGAGTTTCCGCTTTGAACTTCATCCCCCGGGACACGGCGTCTCTCTCCCGAGAGACAGTCTCCTCATCCTCCTGTTCAAGTGCAGTGTGGGAAAGTAGTCTCAGTTCATTTCTGAAACTCTTCAAAGCCCCTGTGATCGACCTTCAAAGAGTCAAATAGTCTTGGCTTCACCTCGCACAACTCCTTGGCTGCAATTACAGTCACAGCTCTACGTTGTTCTGTATCTTCTTCTATCAGGCGCTTCCCGTGTGTTACTTCACCGACTCCTCACACCAGCTTTGCAAAGGATGAGTTATTATCCACGTTTTACCAAGGAGGAAACTGAAGCTCAGGGAGATGAAGGGACTCTTCCAAACCCCACAGCTGATACAGGACGGCGAAGGCATGTCCTTTCCAGTACACCTCGACAGCTCTCAGGTGTCCTCAAGACCTACTGTATCGCCCACTCCCCGATCCCCGCATCCTTTTAGATTCTCCCTCCTGGGAATTCCTGCCTCGGTGAAGCTGACAGCAGCTGGCTCACACTTTCCTGCTGGCCTGCAGACACCTCGGTGAGCCCAGCCCTGGGCTGGACGGTCCTGCAGGCACCCCCAGAGTTGCTGGACACCCTGGGCCATGTCCCCAACATCAAGCACACTGCTCTCCCTGAAAAGACCAACTCTTTAATTTTTAGTAAGGACTTGATGTCACAGTAAAAGACACAAGTAAAATACAGTTGTTCAAATGGAAAACATAAAAAGACACAAATAAAAAACAATTGTTCAACTGGAAATAGAAGACAGATACATAAAACAGAAGAGAACAAATTTGCTAGACTTCAAGGTCGAGTTAGCTATATGGTTAAAGGTTACATTTATCTTTGAGAAAACAGCAGGATTCAAAGTTATACATACATGTGGTTTCTTCAATTTTTTAAACCTATACATAGTACAGAATACTCAAAATATTAATCTGAGGGTTTTTTAGTGGTATAATTTTGGCTGTGTTGTTTTCCCCTACGTTCCACTAAATTTTATTTAATGAGTATATATTAGTTTTATTTGTCTTATTTCTTTAATTTTTTAAAATTTATTTATTTATTTTTGGCTGCGTTGGGTCTTCGTTGTTGCACGCGGGCTTCCTCTAGTTGTGGCGAGCGGGGGCTACTCTTTATTGCAGTGCACGGGTTTCTCATTGCGGTGGCTTCTCTTGTTGCTAAGCACGGGCTCTAGGTGCTCGGGCTTCAGTAGTTGTGGCTCACGGGCTCAATTGCTCTGCGGCATGTGGGATCTTCCCGGACCAGGGCTCAAACCCGTGTCTCCTGCATTGGCAGGCGGATTCTTTACCACTGCACCACCAGGGAAGCCCCTGTCTTCTTTATTTTTATTATTGAGAACATGATGAGTTTCTCCCTGCCAAGGCAAAAAATATATACCTATACATATCTATATGTCTGTATCTATCTATCTATATCTAGACAGGTCTAGATATAGATAGATACATGTAGATACAGTTATAGGTACAGGTATATAGATATATAGATGTAAATATATCCACAGAGGGAAACATACCATTATGTTAAGAGAGAAAACTTTTTTCTCCCCAGAGTCACATCTTAAAAGGAATGATCAATATAACAGTGTCTTCAATACTGGTTTGAAAACAAATGCTTGAGCAATCTTCACGTGGCTGTTTCTTCTTGCTGTCCTTGGTATACATCAAGGGTATACCAGAACATGTAAGTCAAGGTTATTTTGTATGGTTGGGCAGAGTGGGAATCCGACTGGGACTGAGCTAATGAGGTCCAAGCTTGCCAGTTTCCAGTCATGCCACGTGGTACCAGGACAGAACTCAGAATCCCTAGGAGGAATGGGAGAGTTTCTGCCAAGACTTACCTTCTTGGACCACCTCCTCTACCTGTATATCTGCCATCCTGCCCCGTGGTAAGTGCACAGCACACACATACTGCTGTCCAGATACTAATGTGCAGTTTGCTAGACAAGATTCCCCTCCTTTCTTGCCTCCTGACCTCCTCCTTATCCTTCTTCCCTACCTTTTGTCCTTCCTCACCTGACAAGGCCACGGATCATCATGGATCAGCCCTGCCGGCAGACTCAGTCCTCGGCTCTGATGTATAAACCTGCTGGAGATCCTCCAACCCTCCAACCTGGCCTGATCTTGCCTCTCCCATGTGCCTGCTCTCAAACTACATTCAGTGAGGACCGGTTCACTGCCTAACGGGAAGCTGCCACATCTTGGCGAGCCCAGTGCCTGGGAAAGTGCCTAGCACTTTAAATAGGTAGCTTCCAAACGGATAAGTGAGCAGGTGGGTGGGTGGAGAGATAGAGGGATTCATCTAATAGGGCAAACAAGCAGGATGGACTACAGAGGCCTGAGAACTCAGAGGCCTGTTCTGGATCTGCGTCTCCCTATGGAGCACACCGCTATAGGGTCGCTGAGCCCTGGAGAGTTGAAGAAAGTCTTCCCCAAAGAGCAAAGGTTTAAAACAGGACACAATGGCCTGGAGGACAAGAGAGACGAGAGCCCTTTCTCCCTCCCGGGGGCCTGGCCTTCTCTCAGAAAAGACTAAGTCACTAGTGGTCGGTCTTACAGCCACACTGTTTGCCCAGCCCTAGGCAGCTGGGACACTCAGGGGCTCAAACTCTTGACCAGTTTCTGAGGATAAGAGGATGTGTCTATCCTGTCCTCAGCTGCCCCCGCTTCTCGAAGAGACAAGTTCATTGGCAGGCCTGGGTTCACTGAGGTGGGGAAGAAGGGTCTTAAAACTGAGCCTGGCGCTGCTTTCCAGGGGTCACAGCAATCCTTGCTCTTCGTGTCATTGATGAGTGAAGTAGCCCAGGGCCCCAGGGCAACCGAACTCCATTCTCCTCTGTGCCCTCCTGCACTACCCTTCTCCAGCCCTTGTTCCTGTCACATCATCCTGGGCATTGAAACCCTGGCTGCTCCCAGACCAGGTGCCAGGCGACTAAGGACAGGAAGGGTCCAGGAAAGAGAGTCACCCTCAACTGCAATCTCCACTGCCCTTTTGGTAGGAACCTTGTACAACAACATCAGACCCCAGAAAGGTCCTGGAAGAAAGAGGGAATTCCCATCAGATTTAGAAACGAAAGTCTGGGCCTCCAACCAAAGGCTTTTTTCTGTCCCTAAAAATGCAGACCCATCTCTAGACCTTCCCCATGTGGCCAGCAGGTGGCACCACCATCGGGGATTTCAAAACCAAAACTAAATTACACTGGAAACAGATTTTTTTTTTTTTTGGTTTTTGTTTATGCAAATAGTTCATTCCCTACAACATTCCTCCCGTAATGGTCCCCCCCTTTTCCTCCTCATTCCCTCCCCCTTCCCTCCTCTGCGTGACTCTGCTCTCCCTGGACACAGAGTGGATGAAGACGCTGTCAGGAGAGTCAGAGACCCAAAAACAGGCCTTGAGAAATGTGAGTAAGGCTAATGGGGACCAAGGAGGGAGGGAGAAGCCAGAGCAGAGAATCCTGGGCACGGGAGGCAACCCTGCCCCCAGAGTTACTCAGGGAGGCGGGAACACACTTCCCCTCCGTATATACCTTACCCCTTCCAAAGTGCACATGCGTGCACTCATGCAAACACATGCCCCCCGCCCTCCTCCTGAGGGCAAGAGGAGACCTCAGACCCAGGAGGTGATGCCACCTTGCCTTCCTCCTCCAGCTCCTAGGGAGCAGCGAGATGGGGGACCCACTCAGCCCCGGAGAGGCGGCGTTTCGTGCCCGAAACCATCTTCCATAGGTGGTTTCTCCCAGAGGCCTTTGCTGAGCCTTTGGGAGCCCTTTCGGAGAGCCGTGACTGGAAACCCTCACCCCCAATTAACGGGTCCCAAGCCAGCCCTATTCCGGGAAGGGGAGGGGAGTGATGGGACAGGGCAGAGGAGGCTGGGGAGAGAGGTGGAGGGAGCTTGATGACCTCCGGACTGGACACCGCCCCGGGGAGTGTGCACCAATGCCGCAGCTGCAGAGACCAGCCTCCGCACTCCACCCGCCCCCGCCCCCCAGAACATCTCTGTGAGGTCTAGAATGGGCCGAGAGGAAAACGCCCGGCGGTATGACCATCCCCACCCCCTCCACAGCCACTGCCCAAACTGCAAGGCTGCTGCACCCCTCCAGCCCTACCGATGCCTTTTTTCTTTTTGGCAGGTGGCTCTTATACGTCCTGGTGCCAGTCCTGTTCTACAGGGTGGGAGGCTCCGTCTTCACCCCTCGGAAGCTCTATGGGGAAGTGACTTCCCCTCTGTACCCCAAGCCTTACCCCGACAACTTTGAGACCACCACTGTGATCACGGTCCCCACGGGATACAGGGTGAAGCTTGTCTTCCGGCAGTTTGACCTGGAGCCTTCGGAAGGCTGTTTCTATGATTATGTCAAGGTAGGGGCTCAGGTTGGGTGGGCAGAGGGAGAGCTGGGTGTCTCTGGAACCTGGGAACCCTGTATAGGACCCCACCTGTGGACAAAGCCCCAAGCCTGTGAAAGCTGATGGCCAGGTGGGGTTTCTGAGAGTCAAGTGATGTTGTGGATGAGTGTCCACGGGTTTGAGAGCCCCTAGGGGAGCACTGAGGGGAGAGACACAGAGGGAAGGTACGGGCCCCACTCTCAGGGGCCTACAGATCCCTGTACTGCCTACAGGGATCAGAAAAACCTTCCCCATCTTCTTACTTGCTAGGAGCCTTTGGGAAATCGCTGTGCCTCAGTTTCCCTGTTTCCATGGAGAGTATCACCTTGGCTGCCACCTCACCAGGAACGCAGGGACATGGGGAGGGGAGACGTTCATGGTGGTGGCTCAAGCATAGGCTTCAGCAAGGACAGGGAGCTGTCTCCTCACCTCTGTCATGACCAAGGGCACCGTCCCAGTCCCATCTTTCTACATCCAATAAAAATGAGATTCTTGACTCAGGATTCGGGTAGAGCACGCACACAGCCCATAAATACTATTCCAAGGAGACCTCCTGGAGGTTATAAGAGAATAACGTGAAAATGAAACATCTTCCTAGCCCAGAGGACTTGAGACGGCAGTGTTGGAGGCGAGGGGTCTTGGTGGTAAGGGATGGTGAAGAATGAGGTGGGGGGAGGGATGCCTTCTGCTCTGGAGGGGTTAAGGAATCTGTGAAGAAAGAGGTAAGGGAAGTTTGGCCATGCTTGCTAAGGCTACCAGGCCCCGGGGGCTCACGTTCAGCTGAGTCCATCACGAGGCATGGCTGGACGTGAGTGGTTTGACTAAGGCAAGGTGGAAGGATAGGGCAGAAGGTGAAGCAGACCATCCAGGCTCTAGGGATGAAGGAATGATAGAGGCCAGGTAGAGGCCACCAGGATTCCAGTGGGAGGCGGGCACAGGAGGAGATGGGAGTGAAGAAAGGTCTGAAACATGCTGGGGGTCATAAAAGGGGAAGGACGATGTTTGCAGGACAGGATAACGTGCAGAGTTAGCGGATGGAGATGCAGGGGACAGAGGAAAGGCACCTGGGGAAGCTTGCAACAGCCAGAACGCAGCAGGCAGAGAGCAGCTGGAGGCCGTCCAGCAAGGAAGCATGATCCGCTCGTCGGGACAAGAGAAGGATGACCTTCATTGACCCTCCACGTGGGACGTGTCCCCTCAACAACTGTCTCCCTACCCCACTGTCCTTCTTCCACCAGATCTCTGCCGATAAGAAAACCCTGGGGAGGTTCTGTGGGCAGCTGGGCTCTCCACTGGGCAACCCTCCAGGAAGGAAGGAATTTATGTCCCAAGGGAACAAGATGCTGCTGACCTTCCACACGGACTTCTCCAACGAGGAGAACGGCACCATCATGTTCTACAAGGGCTTCCTGGCCTACTACCAAGCTGTGGGTGAGTGGTCCCTGTGCCCGTGTTCCAGCCCTCATGTTGCACGGGGGCCGGAAAAGGAGAACCTTGACTCCAAAGAAGCAGGAAGCCTGGCCTTCCTTGCTTTTCCCAAGAGAGCTTTTTCCAGGAGGGGGCTGTCCACCTGAGCCCTGTCCCCACTGGGCAGTTCCCAGAAGGCGTTAGAGGGGCCGGGAGGCCCAGGCGGCCAGGAGCTGGCTTTGTCTGTTTAGGCCTCTGGTGAGTGACCTCGCTGAGACCAGCGCCACCACAGAAGTCCCCCGGCAGGAACTGAATGCTTCCTTCCGGGATCTCTTCCAGACCTGGACGAATGTGCCTCCCAGCTCAACTTGGTGGAGGAGAGTCCCCAGCCCCTGTGCCAGCACCTGTGTCACAACTACGTTGGTGGCTACTTCTGTTCCTGCCGTCCAGGCTACGAGCTTCAGAAGGACAGGCATTCCTGCCAGGGTGAGGTCAGGGTTGGGAGGAAGGAACCGAGCAAGGGCTCACCGGGCCAGCCCGAGTCTCCGGGTGACCCCCCCTCCCGGCTTTGCTCTCACAGCCGAGTGCAGCAGCGAGCTGTTCACAGAGCCGTCGGGCTACATCTCCAGCCTGGAGTACCCCCGGCCCTACCCGCCCGACCTACGCTGCAACTACAGCATCCGGGTAGAGCGGGGCCTCACCCTCCAACTCAAGTTCCTGGAGCCTTTCGAAATCGATGACCACGAGCAAGTACACTGTCCCTACGACCAGCTACAGGTGCAGCAGACCTCCCCACCCCCAGACGCCCTGTCCTCTCCTCCCATCGCCACATGGCTCTCTTACCCCTCCTTCCTGCTGGACCCTCTGGCCAATCGGTACAGCAACGGCCAACATCACACATGAGTTGGGCAAGTTCCTACACAGCGGGCAGCTGGGTACTGGGGATCCCTTTTACCCTCCAGCTGAAAACATACAGAAAGCAGGATCCCCACCACCAGCACCACCGCCCCAGCCCTGGGGAAAAGTCTCTGAACTGGAGAGGTGACCCTCCCTCCTCCCCCATCAGATCTATGCCAACAAGAGGAACATCGGTGAGTTCTGTGGGAAGCAAAGGCCAGAGCCCATTGACACCAGGAGCAACTCCGTGGACCTGCTGTTCTTCACGGACGAGTCAGGGGACAGCCAGGGCTGGAAGTTGCACTACACCAGCAAAAGTAAGGCTGCCCGGGGCCCCTCGCTGGCCAGCAAGGGGGCAGGATGTAGTGGGTAGAAAGAAGGCCAGTGGCTCTGCAATAAATGCGCCCTCTGCTTTCCCTGACAGTCATCAAGTGTCCCCAGCCCAAGGCCCTAGACTCGTTCACCATCATCCAGGACCTGCAGCCTCAGTACGAGTTCCGGGACTACTTCATCGCCACCTGCAAACAAGGCTACCAGCTCATGGAGGTAAGAGCCACAGCTGAGGGGAAGGAACTGGCCCAGCATCAGGAATAATTCGCACAGCCAGGCCCACAGCAGACTGAGGCTCAGCCCCAAGTGGAATCATACGTGTTTGAGCTGAAAGGGCCACCTGGCCTGTTCCAACTTGACTGCTAATTGGAAACACTTAGGATTTTAAAATACTGATGTCCAGGTCCCCCGCTAGAGCCTAGTCTATGGGTCTGGAGTGCAACCTGGGCATCAGGATTACTAAAAGCTACTCAGGTGGTACTACTGCCCAGCCAAGTTTAAGAGCTACTGGCCTTGCCCAATAACTCACTGTAGAATTAGGAACCAAAGAGGCGGGGGCGGAGGTGAAGTGCAAGGAGCAACTCAACAGTACCGGGATTGTGTGCAGCAAGGATTACCACCAAACCCCCTGCCTCTTGCTCCAGGGCTCTGGGTTTGGGGATTTTGGTGTTTTTTTTTAAGACCTAACTGACTTTGTTCAATGATTCATGAATCGGGCAGCATCCCACCTAACAACAAGAAGGGGCTTCTTTTCTGTACATTGGTGGTCTTACCCCAGGTCCACCACCCTGTCCTCAGCTTTGCAGACTCAGGAAAATACGTGGTTTTCTCCACTGCTCAATCTCACAAAAGCTGGTAAATTAAAATGCTATTTTTGAAAAGCATGCAGTTGGAGTTACCCCTGGCCAGGGACCTGGGACTGGACATCCCGTCTTTGTTCAATAGAGCCACTTGGAAGACCTACTGTGAAACAGAGAAGAGACCTTTGGTTTGTCCTTCAGTTGTAGCAAAGTCACTGAACAAACCTTCTAAGTGTTACTGAGTGTCAGGCAGTGTTCTGGATGTGGGAAGTACAGTAAAAAGAAACACATATTCATGCAGGCTTCGTGGAGCTTACCTTTGAATATTGCATCAAGCTGAGTGAGCCAGGTAACTGCTCCTCGCTCCAGGAAGGACTCAGTGTCCTAGACCCCTCCTCTCTGCTCAGGTGACAACTCACCACATCCTACGTCCCCCGCACCCTTACCTTGGCCTTTGTCATTCACATCATAGAGTTTTAAACAAGTCACACGGTTTCTCTCACATTATTCACATTTCACTGGGACATCCTAATCCTCGTACACATTCTCTTGCCATCAGTTCCAGGGCGAATTATCTGGGATGACTGTTGATCTTAATAAAACTCATTCATTTTGTCCAATTACTTTTCATTTCAGAGGGGGCCATCTCCTGCCCTGGTCCCTGCCATCTGCTCACCTACGACAGCACTTAGCATACGTCAGCATCCTCAAGCACCCTTGAAAGTGGCTGGGCTGCGCTAGTATTTTAGGAAAGGCCCTTGCCCTTAAGAAGACTACAGTCTAGGGGCGATGAGGTGACGAAAGGTGTTCCAGAGGAAGAGGAACATGGTTCTACTTCAGGGCAGAAACTTTTGTTTCAATGCAGAGAACACACAACTGGGCTTGTTGTTTTTTTAATTTAAAATTGTGGGGTTCAATTGGACCTCAGTGGAAACAGGCGAGAATCTAGAGAGAGGATTATTGGGTCTAACAACCAGCCCTAGGTCTGACTTCCTGCTGTGTGGCTCACGTGCGCCCATGTGTAAGTCTGGTCTGAAAGGACCGGCTAGGAAGAAGGACCAAGGAGCCACGTCCCTGGCTGCTAAGGTCTGAGGGCTGGAGAGATGACTTTGCATCCCTACTGTTCCCGTGTGGGCGAGGACAGGAAGGGAGCTGCGGCACCTCCTTGTACTAACAGCACCTCTATCTCTGATCAAACAGGGCAAACAGGCGCTCCTGTCCTTCACAGCTGTCTGCCAGGATGATGGTACATGGCATCGCGCCATGCCCAGGTGCAAGAGTAAGTTGCAACTCAGGGACGTGTCTCCCCCGAGGAGAAGGGAAGAGGGGTCTGGCCTAAGCATCTCCCCAGAAAGACCCTCCCCTGACTTATCCTTTGAAGCCTCTGGCCCATCCAGGAACCAGTCAGCCCTCATCTCAGCAGGACTGACAGGCTATAGCCAGGGCTGAATTTCGTTGTATCCAGTTCCCGTACATCACGAGAGCCCCCCACTCACCATAGCTCCCGAAGGTTCTCAGCATGTTCTGCGGGTCCACTCCTGCTCTGTGGGCAGACTGCTCACCTTCCTCCCACTGAAGTTCTGGTACAATCCTTACCAGCTCTCAGACGGCCCTGTGTTCTCTCCAAGTCAAGGACTGCGGGCAGCCCCGAAGTTTGCCTAATGGAGCCTTCAATTATACCACCACGACGGGGGTGAACACCTACCAGGCCCGTATCCAGTACTACTGCCACGAGCCGTATTACAAAATGCAAACCAGAGATGGCAGAAGCAAGTCTGAGCGAGGTAGGGACCCATGCAAATGGCAGTCTGCTCCCTCTTGTTGGGACATCTTCTGCAATTTCTTCCAATAGAATCCCTACAGAGTGAATATTAAGATATTTATCCAGGGCACTGGCTTCAGAGGTACCAAGAGGCATCTAATAAAGCTGAAGAAGGAAACACCTGAACTGATACAAAGAAAGACTTGAATCTCATAAGCAGCTTCTTCTCACCACCATCACCACCACCACCATCACCACCACCGCCACCACCACAACCACCACCACCACCATCACCACTACCACCACCACCACCACCACCATCACCATCACCACCATCATCACCACTACCATCACCACCACGACCATCACTACCACCATCACCAC